AGCGCTGTGCCCCCCGCTTCGAGCGGGTGACGAGGGGACCCTACCTGGGGACCTGCTCCGGCTGCGGCTGCCACGGCCACTCCAGCACCTGCGACCCCGTGTTTGGGCACTGCCTGGTAAGGGGCGGGGGGGCTGATGAGGTGACAAATGGACAGGGATGTGGCACAGTGGCACGGTGCCACCACCCCCCCCCGTGACACGTGTGTGTGTCCCCCCAGAACTGCCAGCACAACACAGAGGGACCGCAGTGCGAGAAGTGCAAACCCGGCTTCTTCGGCGATGCCACCAAGGGCACGGCCACCGCCTGCCACCCCTGTCCCTGTCCCTACACGGAGCCCTCACGCAGGTGGGTGACAACCCCGGGGACCCCCCCAGTGCCACCCCCGGGGACCCCCTCAGTGCCACTGCCCCAGTGATGCCTCTCCTTGTGGAGGAGAACTGGAGGAGGCACTGGGCCATACTGGGAGCACTGGGAGCTCTCCAAAAACATCCCCAAGCCCCATACTGGTCCTTACCGGTCCATATTGATCCATACTGCTCCATACTGATCTGTAATGGTCCATATTGATCCATACTGGTCCTTACTGATCCATACTTATCTGTAATGGTCCATATTGATCCATACTGGTCCTTACTGGTCCATACTGGTCCATACTGTCCCCGCAGGTTCTCGGAGTCGTGCTTTCTGGACACGGATGGCCAGGCCACCTGCGACGCCTGCGCCCCTGGATATGCCGGCCGGCGCTGCGAGAGGTGGGGGGGAGTCCCTGTAACCCCCACACCCCTCAGCCCCCCATCACCCCCCAGTCACGCCCCAATCACCCCCCAATCACCCCCAATCACCCCCCATCCCCACAGGTGTGCCCCAGGCTACGAGGGAGACCCCATCCAGCCAGGTGGCAAGTGCACCCCAATCGGTGAGTGGGGGGGCTGGTTGGGGGCATCCCCCCACCCTGTGGGTGGCCCCCACCCTCACCCTGCTGCCCACAGGTCAGGAGCTTGTCAAGTGTGATGCCCGCGGGGGCCAGGACGAGGCTGGTGGCACCTGTCGCTGCAAGGTGAGGGCAGGGGCTGGGGGGCAACGGGGGGCAACGAGGCAGTGGGGGTTGCCATCCCCCCAGCACCCAGTCTGCTCCCTGGGGTACCCAGTCTCATCCTCCTCCCCCAGCACCCATCGCACTCCCACCCCATGGCACCCAGCCCAACCTCCCAGTGGCACCCAGTCTGAACCCCCATAGCACCCAGTCACCCTGGGGCACCCGGTCTGACCCTCCCAGCACCCATCACACCCCCACCCCATGGTACCCAGCCCAACCCCCCATGGGATACACTACAATGCTCCCATAACACCCAGTCTGCTCCCTGGGGCACCCAGTCCCACCATCCCACCCACAGAACCCATGACAAACGCCTCCATAGCACCCAGCCTGATCTCCCATAACACCCAGTCTGACCCCCCAGCTCCCAGTCCAACCCCTCATAGCACCCAATCTGATCCCCCATAGCACCCAGTCCCACCATCCCATCCACAGCACCCATGATAAACCCCCTCATAGCACCCAGTCTGACCTCCTCATGACACCCAGTCTGACCCCCCCCCACCCCCCAGCCGAACCCCCCCGGCCCCCCCTCTGACCCCCAGCACCCATCCCACCCTCACCCCATGGCACCCCATCCACCCCCAGCGCCCAGCCCCGTGCCCCCCGCGCCCCCTCACTCTGCCCCCTCCCTGTGCCCGCAGCCCAACGTGCGGGGCCGGCTCTGTGACTCCTGTGCCGCGGGCACCTTCCACCTGAGCGCTGCCAACCCCGCGGGCTGCCTGCCCTGCTTCTGCATGGGGCTGTCCCGCTCCTGTGCCAGCTCCGCCTGGCACCGACACCAGGTACCGTGAGGGGCACGGGGGGGACGGGGCAGGCCAGGCCGTGCCAGGCCACAGTGTGCCGCACTGTGCCATGCTGTGCCATACTGTGCCATCCTGTACCGTGTCGTGACATGCCTCGGTGTGTCTTGCCATGTTGTGCCATGTTGGGCCATGCTGGGCCATACTGTGTCATACCAAGCCATGCCACGCCATTATGTGCCATGCTCTGCCATGCTATGTCACACCATGTGACATGCTGTGCCTTCTTGTGCCATGTCGTGCCATGTTGTGCCGTGCAGTGCCGTGCTGAGCCATACTGTGTCACACTAAGCCATGCCACACCATGTAGTGCCATGCTGGGCCATGCCATGTCAATGCCATGCCGTGTCGTGCCATGTCCCACCACGCCTTGCCATGCCATGCGATGATGGGCCGTGATCTGTCGTGTCGTGCCCTGTGGTGCCAGGCCATGCCCTGCCACACTGTGCTGTGCCATGCCATGTCGCACCTCGTCGTGCCACGTCATGGCATGATATGCCATGTTACACCATGCCATGTCATACCATGGTATGTCACGTTGTCCATGCCGTTACATACCATGCCATGCCATGCTGTGCCTTGACATACCATGTCATACTGTGCCATGTGGTGCCATCATACACCGTGCCAGGCTATGTCATGTCATGCCACTTCTTGCCATTATGTGGAATTACGTGCCACGCCATGCCCTGCCTGGACATGCCATGCCATGTCATACTATGCCACGTGGTGCTGTGCCATGCCGTGTAGTGCCATGTCATACCTGCCATGTAGCACTGTGCCGTGTAGTGCCATGCCATGCCAGGTAGTGTCATGTCATGCCACGCTGTGCCATGCCATGCCATGCCACGCCGTGCCCACCATGCTCCCTCCCCAGGTGCTGCTGACCTCGGAGGACTCTGCCCCGCTGCCCCTGGCCAACGTGTCGGGCACTCCCCTGCCAGGGGCTGTGCCCCGCTTCGTGTCCCCACGGGAGCTGCTCCTCGACACCTTCCGGGACCTGCCACGGGGTGTCCTGTACTGGGTGCTGCCACCACCCTTCGCTGGGGACAAGGTGACACTTCCGGGCCACCCTGAGCTCACTGTGTCCCCAGTGTCAGCTCAGGGACAGGGGGACACCCTGGGCCACACCAACCCTCAACGTGTCCCCAGTGCCAGCTCAGGGACAGGGTTACATCCCAAACCACCCTGAGCCCACCGCCACTCCAGGGGGGAAACAGGGTGACACTCCTGGGCCACACTGAGCCTTCAATGTCCCCAGTGCCAGCTCAGGGACAGGGTGACACCCTCGAGCCATGCAGAACTTCATGTCACCTGCTGCCGGGGGACAGGGGGACACCCCTGGGCTGACCTGAGCCCCACAGTGTCACCTGCTGCCACTCTGGGGGGACAGGGGGACACCCTCAAATCACACTGAGCCTTACCTTGTCCCCCAGCACTGCCTCAGGGGGGGCATGGGGTGACACCCCTGGGCCACCCTGAGCCTCATAACGTCCCCCTCTGCCAGCTCAGGGGGGGACAAGGTGACATCCCAGAGCTACCCTGAGCCTCACTGTGCCCACCCCGTTACTCCAGGATGGCAGGGTGACACCCCTGAGCTGACCTGAGCCCCACAGTGTCACCTGCTGCCACTGTGGGGGGACAGGGTGACCCCCCCAAACCACACTGTGCCTCAATGTCCCCTGCTGGCACTGGCTGCGGGGGGAGGGACCCCCGGCCACGCTGAGTGTCCCCGCAGGTGACGGCGTACGGGGGGGAGCTGCGGTACACGGTGACACACCGCGCCCCCCCCGGGGGCACCCCCGCCCCCCCGGCACCCCGACGTCCTGCTCCAGGGCAACGGGATCCTCCTGGAGCACTTCTCCAGTGCCACCCCCCCGGCCGGGGTCCCCACCGCCGTCACCGTGCCCATCCGAGAGGTGAGGGGGGGACACCCAGCAAGCGGGACATGGGGGGACACTGGGGGTTGGGGTGGGTTGGACTGGGTGCTATGGGGGGTCAGACTGGGTGCTCTGGAGCAGGGGTGAAATGGATGCCATGGAGAGGTGGGTTTGGGTGCCCCAGGCATCGGACTGGGTGTCATGGGGGGTTGGAGTGGATGTCACAGGGGACTGGGAGAGGTCCCATGGGGGTCAGATTGGGTGCCATGGGGCATGGGGTGGGCTGGGTGCATAGACTGGGTGCCCCAGGGGTCAGGCTGGGTGCCATGGGAGGTTGGACTGGGTGATTGGACTGGGTGCCATGGAAGGGTGGGATTGGGTGCCCCATGGATTGGACTGGGTGTCATGGTGGGGGTCAGACTGGGTGCGGGGGGTGGGTTGGACTGGGTGCTGTGGGAGGTCAGACTGGGTGCTCCAGGGAATTGGACTGGGTCTTCTGGGGGCCTGGAGTGGGTGCTAAGGGGCAGGATGTGGGAGGAGAGGGACTGGGTGCCCCAAGGGTCAGGCTGGGTGCCATGGGGCGTTGGACTGGGGGATTGGACCAGGCACCATGGAAGGGTGGGATTGGGTGCCCCATGGTTTGGACTGGGTGTCATGGTGGGGGTCAGACTGAGTGCCCCAGGGGATTGGAGTGGGTCCCATGGGGGCTGTACTGGGTGCCATGGGGCAGGGGTGGGCTGGGTGCTGGGAGATCAGACTGGGAACCCCTGGGATCAGACTGGGGACATAGGGGGTGGGACTGGGTGCCCCCAGGATCAGTCTGGGTGCCATGAGGGGGTCACCCTGGGTGCCCCCAGAATCAGTCTGGGTGCCATAGGGGGGTCACCCCGGGTACCTGGGGGGGTGGGGCTGTGTGCAGTGGGGGATGGCAGCACCTCCATCACCCCGGTGTGCCACAGGGCGCCTGGCGCCGCGCGGACAGGCACGATGCCACCCGCGAGCACCTGCTGATGGCCCTGGCCGACGTGGACCTGTTCATGATCCGGGCGTCCTACTCAGAGCAGCCAGAGGAGAGCAGGTGGGTACTCGGGGTGGGGGGCACGGGAGGGGGCGTGGAGGGTGGCAGGAGGGCGGTGGTGACGTGTCATCTGTCCCCGCAGCCTGGCCGATGTCAGCCTGGATGTGGCAGTGCCACACGTCACTGGCCGCCCGCCCGCGCTGGAGGTGGAGGACTGCGCCTGCCCGCCCGGGTACCGCGGGGCCTCCTGCCAGGTGAGACCCCCTGGGGCCCCTCAGCACCCTTGGGGGCCCCTCACTGCCCCGCTGAGCCGTGTCCCACCCCGCTGGCACCGTGTCCCCTCTAGGACTGTGACACCGGCTACACCCGCAGCAGCGCCGGGCTCTACCTGGGCACGTGTGAGCCGTGCCAGTGCCACGGCCACGCCAGCGAGTGCCACCCCGACACCGGCGTCTGCCAGGTGAGCTGGGGACACCCAGGGGACGGGCACCGCCATGGCGGGGACACCGGTGCCATCACCCCTTTGCTTCCCAGGGCTGCCGGGATCACACAGAGGGACCCCAGTGTGACAAGTGCCAGCCCGGCTACTACGGCGATGCCACCCGGGGCACCACGGGCGACTGCCGGCCCTGTCCCTGCCATGGGCCCCATGGGGACAGC